CTCTCTCTCTCTCTCTCTCCTTTTCTTGTTAATTTCAATTTGGGAATTTAGGTCTTCTAATTTTCTGATTTTAATTTCAATTTTTTTAGATCATAAAAATATAATACCAAACAAGTTTTTAGATATTAAAATACTATTTGAAAACTCATGTTTTAAAAATAAATCATAATTTGTGAATTTGCTTTTTTGAGTATGATACCAAATAGAGCCTTATTTGTCTTCTGATAATAAAAGGAAAAAAAAATACAAATTTATAAATAAACCCAATCCTAGACATGTATTTATAAAAAAACCCAAATACTATTTAAACATAGAAAGTTTTGAGTGTGTGTAATGATGGGTTTTGGGTGTGTTTATAAAGTGTTTTGGGTGTTGGGTTTTTTTATAATTTCAGCTCCCATTTTGGGTGTTTTAGTGAAACTCCCAAAAAAAAACTTATGTATTTTCATCTATACTCTATTTATATCTATCTATAATATATATTTCGATGAGCTTCGATTATTAAATGGGTGATATGGGTTGCGTTGTTGTTATTAAAATGTCATGTTTGTGTTAGGATTTCAACACAATTAACTAAACGGGTCATATTTGTTTCGACCCACTTAATGTAATATCCATAACTCAACATCACACGATCCACCAATATAAATTAGCACTCCTATACATATAATACAAGTCATGAAAGATACTAGGAAAAGAGAAGGAGGAGATGTGGAAGAGCCAAAAGTGAAATTGTATAATTTTTTCTTCAAAGATATATGATAGACCAAAATGCTAGAGTGAATGAGATAACACCTGTAATTACCAATGAGGTGTTAGTTGAATTGGCTCAGGTCTTTGGTGTGTTCTCAAGGGGTCATAAATTGGATGATGAGGAACTAGGATAAGGTGCTTGCTTGCATCACATAATTAGCAACCTATTCGTGTGTATTTTTGTCATACAAAAGTTTTCAATTTTGTTATTCATTACTTTAATTTAAAAACCTAAAGAACCATTTCACAGCATTAATGGTTCCATATAGCTACTATACATCTCATCTTTTCTCACATAATATTTTTCGGCTTCAATTTTGTCTGGTCTCGCCATGCATCAAGAGAAAAGAACCATTAATGCTATAAATAAAAAAATAAAAAAAAGAAAGAGAAAAGAACCACGACAGTTATGTGAAAATTCCATTAATATATTTATCAGAAGCTTTCCATTTAAACCAGGAACAATTAATTAAAGTTTCAATCAAATAATGTGATCAGATCGATTATAATCAAGTTCAAGGTACCAAACACTAGCCAGCACACATTGCTAGGAAAACGACCTATGCATGCATATGGCAGGATATACTAATACTAAAGCCATAAAATTTGGGCTTTGGTTGGGATAGAGGAACATTCATTAAGCTCTCAAAGATGAAAGACTTACGCCAAACCAAGCTTTTTTCTCTTTCTTCAGTCTCATGATCGATCATATCATCTCGTAGGAGACTTTTGTGGTATGGCATTGGCAACTAAAATTCCTATGGCCATGTGAGACTTCTATGATTGGTGGGGTGCTAGCTACCATTATTCGTTTTTTCTTTTTCTTTTTTCCTTTTCTTTTTTCTGACCTTTCTTTTTCTGACCAAATTTGTTGGAGAAAGTCACTTCCCTCCCATCTCACCTTGGACAAAGGAAGAAGGTGAATATATCCTCAGGTTGGTTCAGGTGTGTTGCTTTTGCCAATACAGGTTCCACCATGAGGCTAACTTTTCAGGTGGGTTACTTTCTGTAGTGCTTGCATGCCTGCCTTCATGTTTGCCTTTGTGGCTTGAAAGTTCCCTTTGTTTTTGCATTTTAGTGGTCTCAAAAGTCTCCCTTTTGAGAACTCCAGTTGATGGGACTGCCTAGCCATTTTGGATTTGACCAACTGTGCCTTTTATTTGCTCTAACATCAAGTATAATCCCAGCCTTAATCAAAGTTAAATTAAGATTAGGTTTAAAGTTAACTTGTAAAAACTACCTCTGGATCATATAATTAATGAAACTCATGGTTATTATTGAATTGGTGGTATCTTGCTCATGTGGAAGGAAATGCATATGGAAATTTGCAAGTTGGCCAGCTAACTCATTCTCTGGACAAATCAGACATTTAAAATTGGAATGTTCTATGAGTGTGAAAGCTAATTAGCTGGAACATAACAGGCCTGGTCTGGTTGCACACCAAAAGGGTCTAGCCAAAGGGAAACAGAGACATAGAAGAATTAGATGAGTTCTACTGATAGCAGTCTTATTTGGGGCTTAGCAACTTGTCTGGTTGCACCAAAGGCTACAAGCCTAAAACCATTTTCGGATGGTAGCAAAGAGTAGCATTGGCTTTCTTGGTCGTTGAGTGCTCCTTAAAGCCACTTAAATTGCTTCGGATTCTTCCTCAAGCAAGCCCGTGATTTTTTTCTTTCAAATGTGGGGTTGGGACAGCTTTGGTCCTACTCATTCTACCTGATTACAAAATGACATCTTTTCTCATAACAAAGGAAACTGAAAAAATGTGGCTCATCTTCAGATTGTATATACATCCATTAATGCATGACGAGGCACATCCATGAATCGCAGACATGGCCAAGTTGGCTCGAGCAGATATGCTCCTCACTCTGCACCCTAGTTCGAATCCCCCTCCCCATAGTTTAGATAAGTTTAAAGTAAAATATTGATGGTTGAAAAAAAAAACATTTATGTTGCACTCCAAATCAATCTAACCTTTTCATTATAAGTCATCCTATTAAAAATATAATTGACTTACCAGCTCATAAATATTTAAGATGGTACTGGGGGATGATTAGCCCCCAAGCTCTTCTGGTCACATGGTTAATTTGAACAACCATGTTAATCCATGCATGACTGGCCAAACCCATCACTACTTTACCTTATTTGGGACAACATGGGCATCCATTTTAGGTGTCCTATTTCTAGCCTCTAGTTGTGCCTCTTAGAAGGTCCCTTTCTGATCGATAGAACATTTAGACTAGGAAAAAGCCAGTGGGTGTTTACCTCAGTGGTTGAGGTCTTTGTTTGCAAACAGGGGCGGTCTGGTTGTTTTTGTTATATTTACTTGTATGTATTGTTTTGCCTTCCAAGCTGGGTGTTAAAAAAGAGTAAAAATGTAAAAATACAACTATTGAATGACACAATCCATACTCAAACACAAGGTACTTAAATTGAGGTGCTGAAAACCAACTCAACTAAATACATTTTTGTGTTATTATTTTGCACTCTCAAGTATATATATAATATACACGTTAAAAAATTTCAGAGTCTTTAAAAATTAGGGGCCCTGTGCGGTGGCAATATACAATATACACGTTAAAAAATTTCAGAATCTTTAAAAATTAGGGGCCCTGTGCGGTGGCACCACTTGCACACCCTTAGGGCTGCTCCTGTTTGCGAACCCCATGACACCAATTCAAATCCCCTTGTGGGTGCCCCCCTCCCCTTAGAATAGAATATCGGTCGAATACAAAAATTAAAAAAATAAATAAAAAGGAGTGAAAAATCTGCTTAATTTTAATACTTTTCTTTTTCATGGTGCTCTCTCAAAAGTGCTTTTCAATGATTAATATTTAAGTCGGACCATGAATGGTCAAAAAGATTGTCCATCATATTCTCATTATTGCAGTTCGGTGTTTGAGGTGGGCGTTACTTGGCAAATCCTGCCCCTGTTTATCTCCAAGATGATTTTTGCTTTACAGAAGAGGAATAGGACATGGCCACTAGCCTGGCCAGAACTGAATCAGAACCAGAAATTGTGGTTAGCTAGGCCCATCAAATTGATGCCTCGTATCTGTCATCCAATGCCACATGCAAGCATGCAAGGCTTTACACAGCACACAGACCCACTGAACTGAAAGAACTTTGGAGACTATAGTATAGTTTGCAGGCTAAGTACATGAATGTATAGAGCAAGTATACAAACATATTGGCTTATTTCTGTTGGCTTATCTATGCATGGAGAATTTAGTGGGATCCATGCAAGTATAAAATGAAAAAGGAAATATAGATTTGTAGGATCAATGTTCTGTACAATTATACTTCATACATGTAGGTGGTGCCTTCGTGGTCTCCTTATCACCTCATATGTACTCCCATCTCATTTTAATATGATAAAGTAAATTCAACAAATATCTACTTATTTGGACTGTGTTGAATGACAGAAAAAATTGTGTGAAATGTGGATAATAATAGTGCTATTCCCAGCAATCATGATATGTTATGTGGAAAAGTTATCACCCGTGACATAGTGTGATTGGTTAGAAATAGCAAAACAGTGTTATTTCCGTTTCATACATTCTCGAGGACAAACATAAATATATGGCCCAAATCTTCACTTAGATTGATGGGAGCATTTATAATGAGGGTTAACAATCCACTAGCCCAATAAGAACTATACACTAGATCGGACGGCTGTTAAGGACCCCTCATTATAAGCCCTTACTTTTACCTATCATTCTAGCTTCCCTGTAGATTTGGAATACCTAACATAAACACAAGAAGATTGCCCAAGATGAAGCCCAACTATTTTGCTAACTGGGCTTTTTAAGTTACAATGCTAAGCTAGTCTTTGCAATGTCCAATCTCAGCTACAACTTTGGTTTGGGATGCAAGTCTTCAGCCTCTCAACCCTTGCTATCAAGAATCCAGTCTTTCCTTTCCTTTGGGATGATGTTGTAGGGTCCACTAGACCACTTTGCTTGTTGTGCCTGATTCTCTGTTTTGAGCCTTGGCCCCATCGGAGCCCAAAACAAAAAAGTAAATAACTTTTGAATTCTCAATCCACAGCCCACATTCATATGTTTTTTTTCCTTCTTCTGGGTTTCTTGTTCTCCTGCCTTGAACACCAAGATCAAATCAAGCAACTACATTGCCACTCAAAACATGTTCACAAAATTTCATTTACCTAAATAATACTGAAATCTCATCAAATAATCAATGACAGGAGATGGTCAAAATTTGTACTACTGCAATTAAAAAACTGATTGATAGGAAATGATAGAATGCATAGAAAGTGAATGTGGTAGGAAATTATACAAATTTCTTTTACACTGGTAGTAATAGGGCCACAGCCCCTTTTATTATCAAACAAAGGCATTAACAATCTTCAGTCACACCCCTACAAAGAGTGGAAGCTGACCATGAAGAATCAGAACCCAATGCCCTCTTTTCCAACACTCACATTCACCACTCCGATTTTATTTTTATGATCACAAATTATATAGTATGCCTAATATATTCAAAACACAACAAAAGTAATGTCTTGACACTTGAATTTTAGTTTCCTTTTTATCTCTGATCATTTCTCTGCCTAACTGTGGCGGCCATTGACAAGGCTCTTGGCCTCAAATCCATCCCCACTGGGCTTCCTAGAGAAAGCAAGGTGGACCCCAGGATCATGGTGAGTGAGGGAAGTGTTGTAGACAATGGAGTTGTTGATGCCTTGAACATTGCTGTTCATGAATGCCCTTGTAGGCTGTGCTGATGCTGAGTTCCCTGCAGCCTTCCCTGCTTTGAGACTTTTGTCCTTACTTTTGCTCTTGCCTTTGCCTTCCTCACCACTGCTGCTGCTGCTGCTGCTATTGTTCTGATCAGATTGACTCCCAGTCACCGTTTTTCCATTGCCTTTCTTGCAAAGATACTGAGATTGCTCCCCAAGTCCATGTTTCTGAGGAGATTGTTTGAGTTCCATGAAAGCTCCTCTGTTTTCCCCTGCAATGGTTATGACCCTCATGCCTCCTGCCTCATGATCAGAGGTGTCTGATGCAGGCTTCTTGCGAGCTATAGCTCTTTCTTTGGTTTCTCCTTCATGCTTTGAACTGTGGGCATTGATGCTTGGCTTGGGAGACTCGCGTAAGTCAGTGCCTTTCGAGTTGCCAAAGCCGAACCATGAACTGGGTTTTGGATGATCAATGGTCTTTTGTTGGACCAGCACTGTTTTCTGCTCTGCCTCCATGGGAATCCTGGGTTGCTCAGTTTGGTCTGAAGTGCTGGGCTTTAGCTGAGAGGGTGGGAGGGTGAAAGGAGAGGGTGGTGGGGCAATTGGCTTGATCTTTGGCGACTGAGGTGGGGTCTTATTGGCAGCTGGCCTAATGGTTCTGGGAGATGGGGCAATATAAGTAGGCTCCCTAGCAGTGGCTGAAATGGTGGTGGCTGTCGGTTTTGGTGGAGAATAAATTTGTGGCTGTGGTTTAGATTCTGGAGGAGACTTTGCAGGGGCTGAAAAGATGGTGGGTTTTGGTGGAGAAGTAGTAGTAGTTTGTGGTTTATAGGCTGGAGAACTTGGCACTGAATCAGTAGTATAAGTTAAAGCATTAGTGACCTTGTTCCTATCAGGAGATGGTGCCACTGAAGAAGATGGGGCCATACCAACCTTGATTCCAGGAGATGATGGCACTGAAGAAGATGCTGCTTTTGGTGATGGTGGAACTGATGCAGTAGTACTAGTCGCAGGAGGAGGTGGTGCTGGAGTTACTGCAGGTGGTGGTGGCCGACGCATAAGAACGGCAGTAGGAGGCGGTGGAGCAGCAGCGGCAGGAGGCGGTGGAGCAGCAGCGGCAGGCGGGGGGGGGGGGCGGGCGGGGGCGGGGGGGGGGGGGGGGGACCTGGTGGCGGAGCTGTGGTGGTGGGTGGTGAAGTTGGGGTTGGAGCTGGTGGTGGAGTTGGGGTTGGTTCAGGAGTAGGAGTCAATGGCCTGAATGCAGGTCTAACCACGGGTGCCGGGGCAGGGGCAGGGGTGGTGGCCGGACGGACCATGGAGCCTAGCCGAAACCATGGACGGGCAGGTTGGGTTGCCATAGGTAATCACAAGGAGAATAAAGTTGGAGAGGGTTTTTAGCTCTAGTATGGTATGCGACACAACCAAAATTAGAACTAGAGGTAACGAAGAAACATAGAAATTGGACAATGAGAATGAGGTGAAGTGTGGATTGTTATTTATAGGTGTTTCAAATTTATGCAAAAGCAACTTAAGATTTGACAGAAATATTAGGGGGGACATTAAAAAGAGAAAGAAAAACAATGAGAAACACGCTGAGAGAAGAAAGATGGAGAGAAGAAAGAAAGGCATCAGATGCAGCAGAGCACTTGAAGTTCAGCTCTTTAGAGAATGAAAAAAGCACACCAAAATTAATTTGACGATGCAAGATTGGTATCAAATGGAGTCATATTGAAGAGTCGTGTGTTGCTGAGCCTTTGATGGGATGACCTTGTTTTCTCATTTGGGGTATTCTTTGAACCAAAGACAATATCTGCAACATGGGCATTTGCATGCAGTAACTTCCACTTTTTAGAGCACCAATCGTTTACAATATTTGAAAAATATTGGACAGCTAATTGGGAAGAATAGCATCCCTCTTTGCGGTGAATCATTATTTTTCAACCCACTATAAAAATTGACTACTTTAACTCTTGCAAGGATACCATATCTATAGCAGTCTGTAAATTTGGAATTCCCAAATGGCTCGTGGACTACTCTAAGAGAGTGCAAATAGTATTGTCATGCGAAGTGCGTATGTGAAGTTAATGCGCTCCGATTTAAATACTAAGCATTGCATATTGAAGTACTATACTCACTCCTCATTCGCGACTGAATATATCATTAGTAGCTTCCTAATTTGTATAACAAGGGTTTCACTAGAGACAGTCGCCGGGCGCCATTCGACTCCTCAGCTTTCCTCTTAACATCTAAACATCTAAGCTCTTGATGTCACGTTCATCTGTCATTTTCACAATTTTCTTAGATGCAGTTTGTCGAGTGTGCAAATGGCGGCTCTCTTGGAACATTTCACAGTGCCCATCAGAGTTGTTTACAACGTTAAATGGGCTGGCTAGCAATTCCAATAGATAAAGCATATGCGTACTCATGCTTTAAGGATCACAAAACAAACTACATGTAAACTAATTACTAGTCACTGTAATGGGATTCTTCAAATCTTCTAAGGAATTCAATCCCACTAATTAATGTCTGTCTGCGTCTTCCTCTTGACTTTGCTTGTGATACGCTAGCTGCTGCTGCTGCTGCTGCTTTCACTTTTCCCCTTTCATGTCACTCTGAGATTCTTACTTTGTTCTTCTGAGTTCATCAAGGGCCTTCCATCAACGTACGGATGGTCATTTTTGGATGATTTCCTAGAACCAAAAAGTAAGGGCGTCTTATTTTTCTCAATTATACGAACTGTGGAGTATGGAGGGCAGATGAAGAACCACAGAGACTTCTTCTATTTGCTTGAAAAGCAAAAAATCAATGTACTGATGGCTGATTCCCAAGAGACCGATAAGCCACTATTGAAAAAGAAGGCAGGAAACAAAATCAAAAAAGAAAAGTTGAGATGGGGTCCTTAGAATATCTGCCTTTTTCTTTCCCTTTTCTTTTTAACGGTTTAAGGAGGAAGGTTGAGATTTTGTTCATCATTAATGCTACTTTGGCAGACAATTTTTTTCAAACTTGGCGGGACCCTTTGATAACATGAGAAAAACTCCTATGAGACTGTCACAATGCACCAGGCTTTCATAGAGATGGTGGCTAAAATTTGATCATATTTTGGCATTCTAAAGCCTTCACTATGGGCAGCTGCAGGATAAGTTATTTCTGAGGACTATATAGAAGTGGTAATAGAATTAGGCAAGTTATTAGAGACTTTTGAAGCGACATTCTTTACAAACTTCTCCCATACTACATTATTCAGGAATGAAACCTAATATCCTTGCCTTTGATCTGAAGGAAAGTACAAACAGCATCTGCATGCTAGGAATACCCTTAATACGTTATACCTCCGAGAACACATACCTTTAGCCTTCTCATTTGTGTATCCTGTAACCCTGCTTGAAGAAACGTCGTAGTTCAGATCTCATCATCCATCTCTCTAGCTAGTTGTTCTTACATTGCGAGATGATAAACTTTCATTTATAACATTTATGTACCACTATCATGTTATACGAACTGACAGTAAGGCTAGGAAAGAGCATTTGAAATTGAAAAAGATAACTTAAAGCAACAAAAGTGAAAATGAGTAGACTTTCAAAGCATGTGTCTATGTCTATGCTCTTGGTTATGACACTAGAGAATGATAGTGCACTCATTAGATAAGCAGATTCAATTGTACTAACTATTTGTGGCTCTTGTTTGATTGGCGTACATTGATATTTTCTTATGTGATTCAACTAAAACAAGAAGCGTGTCTGGACGGATGCAATGCAGTGAGGTGTGAACATCAAAACAGAAAAATTCATTGGTTCCGCAGTTTCTTTGGAGAAGGGAAACAAGGTAAGCAGTTGCAATTCAAAGATCAGAGTTTAAGCCTTGCCCAATGATGCAGTATCAGGGGAAACTGCACCTTTATTTGATTGTTGTTGATTTAGCATACGGGTTGAACATAAGGGTAATAGTAGGAAAAGAAGAAAAATGTCATTATGGTAATCGATAAGGACTCTGCTGTCAAACATAAATTGCTACCTAGGGAAAGGAAATATATCTTATTATGTATGTTGTGGCTTTTTATTTTTATACAAAACATTCTGACTGGAATAGACAACAGCATCCAATGCTTAAAAGTAACTCTTAGCACCCTACTGAAGATTGTTTCTGGTACAAGGCAATGAAAATTAGCAGGGGAAAAGGGGGAAAGAACATAAGTTTGAAATTATAGATGGTAGCTGAACTGATGAACTCACCCTTTGGAATTCTTGTAATTCAAGGCCATTTAGTGAATTCAAACACTTTCAAAACTATCTCCCATCCAGTAGGTATTTGCCACATGAAAAGCAGAACATTTATCACATTCAACGTAATATGTAGGTTTCTGGCTGTCTCACTACCTTTTTGCATTGCAGGTGTAAGAGCTGCCGCCGCTGCCCATAGCACCGTGATAGCTGTTGACAAGAAGAAACACCAACTCAGTTCAATTAAGCTTTTACTACTCAGATTTGGCAAATGATTTCTTTTATGTTATTTTATTTTGATTTTCCTAACAGATATCCAAATTTTACCTGCTCCTGCAAACAAATGGGGACCTGGAAATAGTTTTCCTGTCCTAAACCATGTGTTAACTCCTCCACCAATGGACTCGAAAACTCCGAAAGCCAACAATATTGAACCAGCATTGAAGTGTCTATCCCGGTAAGACCCTTTCACCAACTCCTTCCTTTCCTGATAAGGAAATGCCAACACATCATACACCCTCATGAAGTAAACATTCAAGAGATAAAACACTAGTTTATGCAGAAACGCCAATTTTTGCTTAACAGCAGAAAAAAGCATTGCACAAAATTTAATGTCAAATACATAAATGAAACTAATTTGCAATAATACTAAAGTTACTTTGGCCATCTATTTTTTCCAAATTTAGCACATCAAATTCATCCTATGAAGGGTTTATATATACATGACCAAAACATGAAGTGCATTGTTTCTCAACCCACCAGAAGGAAGTTAATTCCATGGAAATAAAAATGCATACTTGGCATTAAGCATGCATTTCAATTGTTATACATTGCATTCAGCATATAATAATCCTGACCGTCAAATGCCTACCTCACTGAGCTGCTGAATTTTGAGTGCAAAAGGAGATGGTGGTTCTTCCACTGGTGTCCCCTCTGGCGTAACTGGGGTAGGCTTAACTTGCTTCTTGAGCTCATTAATTTCATTCTGGATTGTCCTGACTCTCCTCCATTGCCAACCCAAGTACCCTGCCCACAATGTGAATACAAACAGACTACCCATCGCAATGGGGTGTATCAAAGCAAATGTCCTTCCCTCCAATATTCCAAACTCCCCACCAACAGCAAGTGCATCCTAATCCACACCGACAAATTGAAAAAATAAAAAAAATAAATAACCCAAATTTGAAATGGAAGAAGAACATATAAACATGGGTAAAGTTCTGATTTTGAAATGCACGTAGAAACTAGAAAATGAGAGTGAAATGAATTACTAAATTGTACTTGCCTTCGTGTCCAGTAAAAATGGCAATGTGGCAGCTGTGAGTGGGAGAGAAGTTGACTTCAGGTGGTGAATGGTGGTTGTGATGAGCTTTTGAGTACTAGCTGAGTCCTTGGCAATACTGGGTTTTTTTGGGATCGAAGAATGTTGAAGTTTTGAGAGACATTGCTTGGGTTTTGGGGGAAGAATAGGGAGTTTGAGGAGGCTGAGTGTGGCTGACATGCTCTCTTCCTCTGTTCGCGGGGTAGAGAGGGAGACAGCAGATTTCTAAATGGACGGGGAAAAGATAAGGAAAGGGAGATTGAAAGATGAGATTTGTGTCCATTTGGTTTGCTGTGGTTTGTTGATGTTGGCATATAATCTTTCACTGTTATGGAAGGAACGAGGCTGATCCACAGCCTCAGGATTAAAAATTGAACTGGGATGTGTTCTTGGCGTCATTAACTCTCAAATTCTGTTGTCAGTTTTTATTTTAGTAAATTTAGGTTTTAGCTATAAAAAAAAAATTACTTTTGAAAAAAGCAAAAGTTTTTTAAAAAAAGATAGAAAAACCTCTCAACTTTCAAATCAAAAACATGCAAATGTAAAGGATTCCTTAGGAAATCCAAAAATAAAT